AGCTGCGGATGGCCCAGAACCTGCGCCACGCCGTCACCTTCGTGGAACAGGGACACGTTCGCGTGGGGCCCGAGGTGGTGACCGACCCCGCTCTCCTCATCCCCCGCGCCGTGGAGGACTTCATCACTTGGGTGGACGCCTCTCGCCTCCGACAGAAAGTGCTCGACTACAACCAGGAGCGCGATGACTTCGACCTGGCTGCCTAGGGGTGTGCTGCTCTGCCCTGCCTCTGCTGCCCACGCTCTTCTGCTCTGCCCCTGAGGACACGCGTGGGAATACACACGCACCAGTAAAACCACAGCCAAAGGTGCCACCCTCCCTCCCTCCCGAAACACACCTGAAAGGGGAGCAAGGAGAAAGTGTACTCGCTTCTAGTAATGGGTATTGCTCCGCTCCTAGCTCCCCTTCACAGCTAATGACTCCGTTCATCCACACGGAGAAACTTCCCTTCCACATCCATCGCTCCGAGAAAACATCCGATAGCCCAGCTCCTTCAGACCTACATCCCGTGAAGCGAAAGCGCTTGGGAAGATCTCTGCCAGATCGCAGGAGAGGATGCGGTGGGGTTTGAGTGCTTGGCTGCTAATAATAGCTGCTGGAAGGGGTTTTAAGCCTGGTCGAGCGGCTGTTTTGGGACTCAGTTTGGCAGCTTCGCTGCTGCTTTTCTAAGAGATTGCCCTGCCGGGTCCTCCCTCAGCTGATGGACGTGGAGTAACTGGAGGAGCTTCTTCTGGAAGGGTTTTCTCTTGATACTGAGGAACGTGTCTGGGAGAGAAATGCGAGGGTTGTTTGGGGTCAGCAGTAAACAAGGAAGCCAAGTACTGCATTTCTGGAACTGTAAAAGTTTTACCCAAAAACGGAATTAAAAAAAAAAGGAGTCAAATTTATTTTCATGTGAAGCCATAAAGGGAAGTTTGATACTCTGAGTTCGGTATCTTTACTGTGTGGGGTTCCAGCTGACAATTAGCCATCATTTATGGAACAGGATCTAACTGGGGAGGTGTTGGAATGAAAGTTGGCCTGACTGTAACTGCAGATCTGGGGGGAACTTTTGCATTTATCATGTAAGCCAAACAAAAATCGGTACCTGAGGGAGCCTCAGGCCTTCTGGGGCTGTTGGGAACTTTATTCCCCTTTGAAATAAAGAGCAGAGAAGCAAAAATAAAACACTTGTTCTAAGTTGCAGAAGAAATGTGTGTGCTATTTTCTGATGTAGTTTCTCTGAGAGTTTTTTTTCTGATATTTAAATATTCCAGTAAGCCCTGTTTGTCATCTTGCAAAACTTTTTTTTTGTAACTTCTTTTATGTAACTTTATGTAAATTTTTTTTTATAATATAGCTACAAGGCTATTACTGAGTTATAAAGTGGGTTTTGCTAGAAATGCTTTCTTTCCCTTACCCAGGGCTACAAAAGGATTTGGCAGTAGGTTCAGGAGCGGAGCTGTGCCTGCCCATCCCAAGCCCAAAGGGCTGGAGTTCAGCTGTGTCCGGGGCTCTGGGTCTGGATGCTTTAGTGTGGCTTTTCTGAACAGAAAAGGTGTTGAGGTGAGGGGTGTTTTAGGGGCATCAAATGACCAGAAACTCTCATCACATATTATAGCTGTTTTTTAAAAAGCAAACTTGAATGTTAAAATTCCTGCCAGTCTCCTAAGCCAAATGTATTAAGCAGAGCATTAACTTTTAAAGCAATAATAGATATTAAGAAAAGGACACAAAAGAGGTGGGAAAACCCCTTTGCTTATCCTATGAAATACTCCTGTGTATACTTGAATTTATTTCAGTAAAACATCACCTGTAATACCTTAACAACCTTTTTCTCAGGGCGTGCACCTTCCTTATGGTAAGAAATACAAATTGAAAAGATGCTTCGCACCTGGAGCGTGACTTAAAACAGCTTTCCAGCTTTCATCTAGAACAATGGCATTATTTCTTGGGGAAATTCAGAAGGTGCCTAATTCAGGTGCAGGTAAAAATGGTGCCTTTGCTCTGCTTTACTCTTCTGGAAGAATTTAAATAACAGCACAGTGACCTGCCCTGTGCAAGGCATTTTACTACTTGGATGCTAAACTGCTCTGCCCAATTTGTCCAGCCCTCGAAGGAACAGCAGAAAAGAAAATCTCAAACCTCCAGCCTGTTAGCCTCTGTAGTTTTCATCGTCAGCCTGGTCTTTTTGTCCTAAACCAACTTTTCATCATTCATCTGTACACCGCCAGCATCTGTAGCAGAAAAGAAACAACCCGAAAGCCTGTAGGCTGTTAAATTAAGCAGTGGGAATTGATTCCCCTACAGATACTGTGGGATAACAGCATCCATCACGCCTGCTCTCCTCCTGCCGTATTGGAAATCCATTTCGTACATTCTTTTTAAGAAATGCATCAGGCTGTGCATTTATATGTCTGTGCCTGTCTTTTAAGCCTGGAATTCTGCAGTCCTGCTGGTTGTACAGTAGCTGAGACCTAAGATAAGTGTCCTGCTCCTAAATTTTTAACAGCTAGAGTCCACACATGCCTTGAACAGGAGCTGGGTCCACTTCAAGTGTGATAAACAGGGTGTCATCTCAGTCTGAAGTTTACATCTGACAGTGGCATGCCTGCGTTCTTGCTCACAAAGGTAGTCGGGCAGGTCATGGCTTCCTCGTGTTTAATGGTGGTTTTGCCTTTAGTTCGTGGGTTTGAGTTTGTTTGCCAGAGCCGTGGCGGTTCCTGCAGTGGCTCCGGAGCTGGGGATTGAAAGGGCGCAGGAAGCAGCTCCGACAGCTTTTCCTGGTGCTTGGATAAACACGGAGGCTTATTTTGAATTCCAAGGCTCAGTCCAACGTCAGTATAAATCAGCACCGCCTTCCATGGGTTTGGGGGAGCTGGCATGAAGAGGCAACCTGGCATTGCACTTTTTTGGGCTAGATCCTGCAAAGTCTCCCCTCCAGCGCTCCGGGGGCTTGGTGCGGGAGAGCTTACGCACATGAGAATGTCAGGATGAGGCCGTGGCTGTCACTGTGCTTCTTCCCAGCACCTTCTGAAGTGGCTTTGCTGTTCCTCAGATAGCTCAGCATCTCCATGAAGCTCATGGGAAGTTACTGGTGGAGGAGAACAGAGGATGGTGTTGGGGCGAGCTCTCCCTGTGCCTGGCAAAACCTGATCCCTGCCACCTCCACCAGTGTCCATCCCAGCAGCTGGGGGCTGGAGAGGTGCCAGCTTCTCCAGCAAGGGAGGAAGGGGCTGCAGGGGGGTCTGGGCAGTGCAAGAACCGTCAGAGCAAACGGTGAGCAGCTCCCACGCAGGGCCTTCCACTTGGATAGTGGGCAGTGGTAAGGGAGGTTTTACCAGGACCTCCGGTTTTAGGGTTTTTTTTCCCTTGGTTTTTTTTTTTTTTCCTCTCTTTTTTTTTTTTTCTCTTGACCTCGGCTTGTCCAGTGTTTGAAGGCTGCCAAAGCAGGGGAGCTGAGCCTGGGGAATGCGGGGGAGCTGAAGGAAAGAGTCCTTCACACTGACGCCTTTTGTGTTGCAGGGTGTAAATGGCTGAGGCTGTCACTGAAATGCAAATGTGTGTTTTTCCACTGATTTGAGCTACTTTTTTTTCCTGTAAACAAGCATACTGCACGTTTTAAAGGCTGCTTCCATCCGACACCTTGGTGTGGCTTAGTGCAGATGGGATGCTGACCTCAGTAATTTGGGGATAGCACATCACCACAAACACAGACAGCATGCGAGGCTGGGGAAGGACGGTACGTCCCCCTTCTCAAGATGGGAAATGGAGACTGAGAGAAGCAAAGGCGGACCTAGGTGATTCCCAGCCTTTTGGGTGATGCTCCTGCATCCTGGGTTAGGCCAGGGCCTCCCAGCCACGTCTCAGGGCACTTCCACGTGCTCATCTTGGTAACACTCCCCAGTGAGATACTCCTTGGTGGATGGAGGTGTCACTGTCCCATTCTTGAGGTCCAAGTAATCTGTTTTGAGTACATCCCCTACCTGATTTGGCACTGCAGATTGAACCAAAGAGCCATTTCTCATCGCCGGGGTATGGGATCACCTTAGTCCCTACCCCAGATACCAAAACTTTTCAACATTCACTGGGTCTGGGGGTAAAAGCACCCCTAAGTGTTATGACAGCATTTACCTGAGAGCCCTAGTTCTGGTCCCTGCTCTTAAATGCCCCATTGTAGGCATTGAAGCAACTCTTCTCACCCTTTGCTTGCTGGTTTGGGCCTGAAGCAGGACCTGGGTGGTGGAAAAACTGTATGCAGTGTGGTCACTATGTGGGGACATCGGGTGGGAGCAGCAGGAGGAGGCACTTGGGTTCAGCCTTCCCATAAACCGTGGAGCTTCTGGATCCAAGGGCTAAATCCAAGTGTACCTCCCCCAGTGGGAATGTCCCCTCTCACCTGTCTGCAAGCACAGCTCCACTGCAGAAAGGTCCCTTCCCGCCCTAATATTAGCTGATTTTGAAAAGAGAAAGAGTTTCACTTCCAGCAGGCAGAGAAAAAGGGGAGGCCAACCACTGACAACAGCCAGAGATGGAGATTTGAGCACCTCCCGTTTCTTCCTAGACTTGCCCATTAGAGGATCCCGCATGTCCCCACCAGTAAATCACAACATCTTCTCAGCTGCTGTAAATTGTCGGCGGGGTTGGTAAGGGCAAGTCCAGATGGCATTGCTGCCCTCGGTTCCTACCCTGAAGAGCAACCACTTGCTGCTCCCAGAGAGGCTCAGATGGTTGTGTCATGGGGTAAAGTACAGGCAGGCTCTCCCGGAGGGTTCGTCTGACTAACGTTACAGTCCACCACCTTGTCACCTATATCTGAGCTCATCAGGCTTAAAGCACACCAGGGGGAACCACATCCCACAACCGCCACCTCTCTCCCCACCAGCTCTAACAGCAGCCAGGGCACAGGGTCCCACGCAGGTGCTCACCTTGCAGGTGCTAGGTTTGGGGGAGGTGAATGCTGTGCTGGCAGAGCACCCAAAACCTCCTGCTCTGTGTCCCTCTCAGCATCCCAGAAGAATTTAGGTTGGGAAGAACTGCTGGAGATCACCTAGTCCAAACCCCTGCTCAAAGCAGGGCACGCGTGGGGCTGCCTCAGTTTTGCGCGTCTCAACGCTGGATGCCTGAAGCAGAGTTTAATCACCCTCGCTGTGAATTTTTTTTTCCCCTTCCATCTACTTTGAGTTTCCCCTGCTGCAGCCTGGGACTGCTGCTTCCCATCCCCACGCTGGGCACATCCGTGTCAGGAGGTGGGTTACTTTTCCCCATGGGAAAACTCAATTCACCTTTTCCCTGAACCCTGGCCGTACACGTAGCGGGGAAGGGGCACGTCCACCGTATCCCCTCCCTGCAGCTTACCCGGAGCAAATCCCCCTCTTCCGCAGGGACACGCAGGGATTTGGGGCCGGATAAGGAGCTGGAAGGGAGGAAGTGGAGGAGCGCAAACCCTTGAGGATTGGGGACAGGCTTTGGGAAGAGCAGGCTGAAGCCAGGGAGCGGGAGCACCGGCAAGCGGTGCGAGAGGCTGTGCAGAAACTACCCAGCTCCTTAAAATCCCCCTCGCGCCACCATTGCTCCTCCCTGTGCTCTCCCCAGACCCCCTTTTTTCCCCCTTTAGCAGCAGCCGGCGCTCCACGTACCTGGTGTGCGGTGTCCCGGCCGCCCTCCGCTCCCGTCCCGCTGGCCGGAGGAGCAGGATGGAGCCTTCGGCCGCCCACGGCCCTCGGGAGCCAGGCGAGAGGCGGCTGCTCCCGCGGGAGGACGTCTCTGTCGTGGGCAGACCCACTGCCGGGCTCTCCCCGAAGGGGAGGGACCAAACTTTGCCTTAGTTTTCAGTTGAGACAATCTTTCTGGAAGAGATCTTCCTTGGGCCTGGAAAACGAGTTTCCGGCATGGAGCCATTGCCAAAAACACGCTGCGTGCCCCAGAGGAACCCGCGGTTGCTTAAGATGCTGGGCTGTGCCTTTGTATGGCAGGGATGGGTTTATATAGGGGCTTGTTTGCATGTGGCTGTGAATTTCTGGCTTTCCTTGAGGGGTTGCCGAGCGTGGCGGCGTAGGACTGGGTCAAAGTCCCGGATCCCTGTCAGAAAATCCCCCCGGATGGGTTGCAACATCCCGCGGAGGA